TCATTGAAAATCCTGTGGCCCATCGTTCTATTCTTATACAAATGGAGTCACTGCAAGTCAGAACTGACTGAAAGCTCTATTAGCCTTATAGCCAGTGGGGTGCCAGAGGTGGAAGAGCAGTCTGTTTAATCCTAGGTGCAGGCACTGAAAACAACAGGGTTTGTAAATATTTTAAGAGCATTAGAATTAGCCTGCTCTTCCTAATTGCCATATGCCATAAATTCCAGGCCATGTAAGTGATAAAATATACGTCCTGCCAGTTCAGCCCACCATACTCCACCCCTTTTTGGTATGCATTGCTTTGTAATTTAAGTTTTTCCTTTCAAATAAATTAAGAACATAAGCTTTCAAAGACACTGTCTGCGAGAGTTTCCAACAATGAAAATGCAGTCTGCTTTCTGGATTTCTCACATGACTTAGGGCCCAACATCACTTGATTGAAACTGCTGAGAGAACAGCACTAAACCAAATGAAATGTTGAGGTAAAGATAAACCTAACAAAAGTAGAATTTGACAATTTTCTTCAAAATATTTCTGCCTTTGAACTTTTGAATGCATTTCTTTTTCCATAAAGGAGAATAAAAACAGTAAAAAAAAAAATGAAACCCAAATTGAAAATAGCATTTATTGTGGTATTTCTCATTACTTGTGTTTTGGGCTAATCATAAAATATATGAGAGAGGACTGCATAAGATATACTCTTTTTATTTGATTAATTGGGCATAAGAATTTACCTTTATAATATTTTTAAATACCAAATTGTGATAAATGCCTCACTAACATTACTTTTTCGTTTTCATAATGACTAAAAATAAGTCAACAAAGTGACTAGTGGTAAATTACTTAAATGTACTGCCCCTTTTTATTTTTCCAGGTATTTTTGGACAGAAATTGGAAGATACTGTCCGTTACGAGAAGAGACATGGGAACCGCCTGGCTCCCATGCTGGTGGAGCAGTGTGTGGACTTCATACGGCAAAGAGGGCTGAAAGAAGAGGGTCTCTTTCGACTGCCAGGCCAGGCTAATCTTGTTAAGGAGCTCCAAGATGCCTTTGACTGTGGGGAAAAGCCATCATTTGACAGGTAGAGCTCAAGACTTTACTTTCTTTCTTTTTTTTTTTT